GAGAGCCAATAAATCAGCATTGTGACGAGTGACTATCAATCCAGTCAGATCTGTTCTTATCTCAACCCCTGGTGCCCCATGTTAGGCGCCAAAAAGAACTGTCGTGGTTTAAACCCAGTCAGGTAACTTGTTCACTCACTTCCAGTGAGTGGTGCCGAGCTGACAACAATCGAGGTCCGTGCCCGTCTCCCCCCCCCCTGCACCGGGGGGTCCGGTCCGGACTGGTCCAAGGGCTACTTCATGAACTATCTCGCGTTTAATTTGTTCAAAGGCTTGTTGTTGCTCAGGGCCCCATTTAAAATCATTCTTCTTCCGGGTCACATGATAGAGAAGGCTTACAATTGAACTGTAATTTGGGATGTGCATTCTCCAGAACCACACAGCACCCAAGAAAGCTTGTGTTTCTTCATCTTGCTTCACCCTTCTTGCCTTTTTTTTGCTTTTTCTCTTGCGTACAGGGGCAACCAATACTGGTATGAATTGGTCCTCTGGTTTGGCTGCAGTGATTATCACTGTGGTTTGAGTAGCGACTGTACTTGTTGCTGGGGGTGGTGTAGCTGCTGTGCTTGGAGCTGGGGTGACTGCACTGTCTGTTGCAGTCGAAGTTTGAGCAGCTGCTGTACTTGCCACTGGGGTAGCTGCGCTGTTCATTGCAGCCAAAGTTTGAGTAGTGACTGTACTTGTCGCTGGGCGTGGTGAAGCTCCTGTGCCTGGAGCTGGAGTAGCTGCGCTGACTGTTGCTTTGCCCTCAGATCCGCCGACATTCTTTTCCTTTTGAAGGTGCTGGATAGTGTTGAACAAGGCCCTGTAAGCATAGGCCAAGCCCCAGCACGTTGCCATGATTTGTCCATCTCTGGTATGGCCAGAATGACCACACACCTCATTTAAGTGTTTTACTAATTCTTCTGGATTTTGCAGTTGTTCGGTAGTGAAATTCCAAAGTACTGGAGGGGCCCACTGACCTAGATACTTGCCCATACTATCCCACACACCCTGCCACTCATGACTGTCCAGCCTCAGGGCCTCTTGGTCCTCCTACATCGTCGTTTGACCCCAGACAAGACCCAAACCTGACTATGCTTAACTCTTGAAATCAGTCATGGGCAAAACACACTCTGTATGCGTGCTAGCATGGTGATTCCCATCGCGATCAGCAAACAAGTCTCAACAGCATTAAAATGCCATTCAAAAAATTCAAAACTCTCAAATGTAAATGGTCTGGGGGGAGGACTGGGAGGGTAAAAGGATGTCTCCTTCACAGGTTGAGCACCTGAGAAGGAGAAAAAAGATGTGTAATTTCTAAGCACTTCTATTATATACCTCCCAAAGTATAAAGGTGGAGACCACACTGGGAGCATAAGCCAGATCAGTTTCATGATCAATGATTCTATTGTATTACAAGTCATTACCATAAAGTACAATGGGACAAAAACCTTAGCCCAAGCCCCACACTTGAAAAACACTAATACAGCAAATACCGGATGGAAGTAAGATACGATATACTGAAACTGAGAGATCAAGAGGAGCAACCTTGAGAGCCAATAAATCAACATTGTGATGAGTGACTATTAATCCGGACAGATCTGTCATTATCTCAACCCCTGGTGCCCCACGTTGGGCACCAAGGGTTGTCAGGCCTTACCTGACTTGTTTCTGTAGAGCCTCAGAAAGCAATGAGTATCAATAGTGTGTTAATGATACAGCTTTACTCATATTGTGATGAGTTGTCTGAACAAAGCAAAGTTAATTTTTATGACTTCTCTGTTTTCTCTTGTTGGCTCTTTCACAAGGACTGGGAAGTCACCTTCCATTGTTGAACAAGAAACAAAGGCATTGCAAGATTAATGACTTGGAGCAAGTTTTTCAGTTCCTATCACATATATGTAACAGTTTGAATAGCTGCTGCACATGCAGTTCGGTAGAGTAACTTTGAACGGAGTTATACTGAACCTTGTTTTCCCAGGAGATTTCCAGTTCCCTCTTCTTCTGCAGCAGAACACTGGAGTAGATGCACCAAGGTGGGGGCTAGTGGAGCTTCCATCAGTGTAAGAGCAGACTGAACTGTCAGGAACAGTATATGCACAATGAAGCCTTCTTAGGGTCAGAGAATGAAGCAAATCAGTATTTCTCAGCCTGTGGACTTTACACTGCTGGCAGTCAGTAAGAAAGCAGTGGGCGGTCCATGAAACAAGCACAAAGGCTCAGCAACCATAAAATGGATGCGCAGGGCCTTATATCAGCAAACAAAATAAGAGGAAAATGAAGTTACTAAATGAACATCTGAGGTTAAGCTTCATTGTTTGGTTGGTCATTTATGGAAACCATTGTGCCAATGATTTTATTTTTTTTTTATTTTCCTCATAACATTGAGATTATTCTTGGTGTGTAAAAAAAAGTGCTGCAGTGGTTTTTTGGTTAAATTGTAAGAAAAAGGGAGAGGATGAACTCTCAAGATTGATATCAACTCTGCTTTTTTATGATCCTATGCCCTTCCCTGTGATTTTGTGACTTCTAATCTCTGCTTTAGTATTTTTGCCACTACTCACAGTTCTCTTTCTTCCCATCAAAAAAATCAAACAACAAAAAAGGGTAAGTTGCAGGTGCAGCAAAATACTCTCAGAAAAATAAACTTTTTCCATCTCTCAGCCTATGAGGGTAATTTGGCTTGCCTGTACAGAATGCATAGATCCACCATTTCCAGGCTTGTCTTTTTTTCTGTTAGCGCTCACTGTTCCATCTCTATTTCCCATAATACCACACCTTCTTCCTCTAATTTGCTGCTCTGCAAGCTCTGAGCTGCCTGCCCTCTTTGTGCCACTAACACTTTGGATTCTTTCCCTACTTTCTCTCTCCTTGGCCAGTTTGTTCTTGCATTTTCTTATTTTTTTTGTCCCCGTTCTCCTCTGCATAAAGGTACCTTTTCTGCTTTTAGAGTAATGACATTAGCAGAGCTGATGGAAATTTAGGTGAATTAATTCTCTGAGCATTACGCTGTTCAATGGATATGTTACTCAGTGCACATTAGCCAACCTCCAGCAGACCACACTGAATGACAGAAATGATTATTTGAAGACTATATTCAACAACAGTATCATTATTCAAACAGTTCACTCAACAAATTACACTCAGTACACTCAAATTGATGGTGCATTCAGGTTGCTCTCTTTGCTCAGGACAGCACACGTGTAGCCTTAAGGGTTGAAACTGAGTCGCTGAAATGTCTGATGGAAATAGGGGTGTGGAGGCTTTTCTGGTCATTTGTGGTTCTAGTGAGCAAGACAGAGTGTGTGTGTGTATGTGTGGTTGTTAGTGGGGTGTTTAAGTCACATCTAGGGAATAACTGATGTATGTGAGGAGGAAGAGAGATAACCTGATCTTTTTCCTGCTGGTAGCAGAAGCAGCACAGGCCCTTGTTTTCACACGTATCCCTAGTACTTCATCTAGAAATCAGTACAACAAATGAATGTATCTCTGATCTTCAGCTTTTGTCCAAGTTGAGGTGTATGTGTGTGGGAGCAGGGAGTTGAAGTAAATCTAACATCAAATCCATGCTCTTCACTTCTTACTCCATTCAAATTTTTCTTGAGCACTTGGAGCAAATAATCTTTCTTTTACTGTTTAAGACTTTCTGATGCCTCTTTTGTAATTTCCAATACAGGCTAAGTTTTTTTTGTGGTCTTTATGTCCACTGTGCCAAATAGATACCCCTTTCACCTGTGTGTTGCATTTTTAAACCTTTGAGTCATTTCACTGTTAGGCTCAACATTGGCCATTACCCTGATGCAACTTGATGTAATCTACATTTTCCACAATCCACTCAATTGCTTCAGCCAGCTTCCCTTCCTGACTCTCTTTGATTCATTCTGCACAAAACACATCTCCTCTGAATGCAAAGCTTGAGATCTCCCTTTGGCTTCAAGGATGTGGATCACACTTTCTCCCCTCTTGTCATTATGTTAGTCAGAATATAATTTTGCTGAAGTGCCGTGCCCTGACACTGCTCTTGGCATCTGCTTCCATGTGTACTGCTGCTTCTAAAAATGTTACAAAACTTCATACCACTGTCATCTGTTTCTTACTGCTCAGTTGTGTGCTTACTTGAAGATTTCTCTTTTTTGTCCTCTGAATCCTCACCTTGCTCTGAACTTCATACAGCCCATATAATGCCTTTGTCTTCTCTAGCCTCAGCTAATTTAACTTTTCATTAGTCTGTACTTGTGCTGTGCCATGAGGGCAATTTTCTCAACTTGTTGAGTAACTCCACATCTTTGAAATCCATTTTTTTTCTTGTATCATATGTTCTTTGCAATTCTTCAGTGAATTAATTGCATTTTCAAAGTTCAGTCTTCAGTAATCTGGGTGACATTTACTCTAATAGCCTTTATATGGCACATCTTGCATATCTGTCCTGACTTGTTCAGCTGGAAGCTCAGAACTGGTGAAACTCTAGTCATGGACTGATAGATGACATTAGGCTTTTTACATTAGAAAGGGATGGTGCAGATCTTATGGCCATTAGCAAAAGCCCACTCACAGCAGTGCTTTTTTCCTATGGAATAACAATATTCAGTTTTCCCTTCTCCTGTGATTGTGAGTCCTAGTATAGGCCTTTTGAGGTTTTCCTTCAAATCTCCTCCAGAGGTCAGCTCATCCACAAGATGCATTCACACGTGTTAATATTCATGCTCACTGATGAGAATGTTTTGTTTCCTTGTCTGTACTTTATTACATAGCAGTAATATTCTAAGTAAAATGCTTTGCTGTTCAGCTCCTTTGAGACTGATGTATTGACTTATCTAGAAAGCATTAAAGCTGTAGTGCTGATGTCTTGAAGAGCTTTATTTAAACTCCTGCTTGAGCTCTGATTGCAGACATGGAGGACAGAAATAGTTCTTTAATGACAAAGTCACCACCCTGCAAAACATATTTAAAAGCATATAAGCATATGTCTGATAAAATATAAGCCAACTGATATTCCCATTATTCTTTTTTACCTGCAGCATAAAGGAGTAGCTTGGTAACCATTCTTTGTGAAAACATCTTTTTTTCAACATCCTTCAACATCCATATAGATCAGCGAAATACTCATTTCTGCAGCTGTCCCTCAGCTCTTCAAGTAAGTCAACAGCTCTAATGGTAGCAAAGCAGGAATACTCAAACAGGCAAATAACCTTGCTTTCTGGCAGAATTCTGGCCATAGGCAGAAGTCATGATGGGCTGCAAAATCAAGGGACAGCAAAAGAAGTACTGAGCTTTCCGTCTCTGTTGACCTTTGTGGTGCTGTGGCCTGTTTGCTACTTGTGCTCAGACTTCCCAGTTGAATTTGCTCATCCTTCAGTGCCAGCTGCAGCTACAACAGCAGCAGTGGGATTTGCATGTGCCACTGCATCCTCAAAGGGGTACATTTTCTCTCCTGCTAGGCAGAACTTGCAGGAGCAGTAGATGGGATGAGGAAGTTAAAAGAAGACACAAATCTGGAATCTGAGATCCACAAATCTGGATCTCAGATTTCCCTCCTCATGTCTCCCAGCCATTTTGTGTCCTGGGAAGACATCTACTTTTTGTTCTTAGAAAACAAAGGAGCTTCATATCCTCAAAGATCCACATAGACCTTCAGTGTGGGGCCTGGTGGGAAGGTGACTGTATGCTCTTAGTGATTATGTCAGGGCTTTTTTTGACTTTGAGGAGAGTCTGACTACTGGCGGCTCCTTAGACTGCTTTTCCAAAAGAAGTGTTGCAGAGTTAGGACAGAGGAAGACTTGTATGGAAAAGAAACTATTAAAAAAATAATTTTTTTTTAAGGAAATCTTAGTGCACTTCTTGCATGGTAAGAAATACAATAAATCCAGTGAAACAGAACAGGATTTAAAATACTGCACAAGTTTACTGGGAAGTTAGACCACAGGCAAAAAAAAAAAAAACATTTGCATTTTGGTAGTCAACCTTTTGTGGGACACGTGGCTCCTATACTGAAATTTGAAAGTGAAATCTGATTTGGCTTTGCATAGTATTTTGAATAACTACAGAGCTAAGCTGAGTGTACCTCAGTGGTAGAATGCTAGCCTGAACTTGCTGGAGAAATCTCTACCTGATGCTCAGGAGACCCGCCGGAAGAACAGACATTTACTCGCAGAGGACAGTTTAATAGAATGATTAGGCTTAAGCCTGATAGACAAAATGTTTTAACAGCAAATGAGGTTTGTGCAATAGCCTCAGAAGGTTCAAATTATCAGAATTAAGAGTAGTTTGTTGTTGTTGGTTTCCTTTTTAAAAGCTTAATCATTCTAAATTGCTTCAGCTGCTGCTTATGTTTCACCTTGAATGAACATCTCATTTTTCTTTGCCCAAGAGGAAGTGTCTCTCTGATCTTGTGTTTCTTCAGTACAGCATTTCCTTCTTTCCTTGAGGAGAAAAATGACCTGGGGTTTCCTACGTGATCTGTTGAGTGGAGTGAATAAATATTCAACAGGAATTGGAAGAATTTGGGTAGCAGTTGTGTTCATATTCCGCTTACTGGTTTACGTTGCAGCTGCAGAAAACATCTGGAAACATGAACATGATGAATTTGAATGCAGTATCAAGCAGCCTGGTTGCGAGAATGTTTGCTTTGACCATTTTTTCCCTGTCTCCCACATCAGACTTTGGGCTTTGCAATTAATCATGGTCTCAACCCCTTCACTCTTGGTTGTTTTTCATATTGCTTACCGAGACAACAGAGAGAAATGCCACAACCAGAAACTTTATAAAAGCGCAGGAGAGAGAGATGGTGGATTGCTGTGCACTTCCCTTGTCAGCCTTATCTTAAAAACAGGATTTGAAATAGTTTTTCTTGTTCTGTTTTATAAATTGTACAATGGATTCGAAGTACCATGTCTTGTGAAATGTGACATAAGACCGTGTCCCAATACTGTAGACTGCTATATTTCCAAACCTACAGAGAAGATGATTTTCCTCTATTTTCTGGTGGCAACTTCCTGCCTGTGCATTGTATTAAATGTAAGTGAATTAAGTTACCTCATTTTCAAATACTCTGTAAAATGCTATCTGAAGATATACATAAAGAAACATCAAGACTCAGAAAGTGATTGCCACAAATCAGAAACCATCATTCACAACAGAGCAACAGCTGCAGGACGGTTCCATGACAGCTCCCTGTCCCTGCCTCTGAATATGCAAGATGAATGTGAAAAAAATTCCCTGTCAACTTGAAAGAAGGCTGAAGACCACTTCCTGCTGCACAAACTGTATTTGGCCAATTGCTTTTCCAATCCGTGCTTTACAGAACTGAAAAGATAGATAGTTATGTAGGAAATACTTTTTGTCTTGTTAATTCCCCCTGACTTGAGAAGATAAATTCAGTCGCATTGTGCATGTCATACATAGAATCATCTAAATCTTTTCATGGTGAAACAAGTGGCATAGAAATCTGAAAACTCCATGAAGCTTCAATATAAATGCAGATGCTTATGATAAATCACACCTAAACAATTGCTCAATGAGCTGTGTTTTGAATATTACACAGGATTGCTTTGGTACAAGCAAAAAGAGGCTTTTTATATGAAGAGTTGGAAGAACTTGGGATTGATGAAGATGCTGAACAGTAAGAGGATGTACAGCATTGGTTGAGTGGATGGCTCTGACAACGGTTGAAATAGTGAGTATAAGGCGTTGGCATATGATGGCTGCTGGTGTGTGGAAGTGAGCTGGGTGGGCACAAGCCCATTCCACTGGACTACTGTAAAACATCTCAAAATAAAAAGAAAGAAAATAAGAAGTGGCAGACACATCTAGTTTAGCCCATGGTGATGAAGACAGACCTGGTTATTAAGCTATTTATGGAGAATTTCCTTCTGAAGGTATTTGAGCCCTTTACAGTTTTTAGGGCATTTATCATCAGAGCATGTCCTGTAAGAAAAGGTACTTGCTCAAACTTGTGCAGGCAACTTGTACCAGAGTTAACTCCTGGTCACCTGCACCAAGGATCTTCTCAGTAATTTGACTTTTCTTCTGCTCCGTGGCTGTGGCATTTAATGGAAAAAGATCATTCCCAGTTCCCCAGGATCCGAGCGGTGAAACAGCCTGCACAACATGGCAAGCCAGTAGTCCTGGCATTCAGTAGCAATGTCTTCTAGGATCTAGTCTTCTGTTGAACCCAGACTTCTGAGATGATAGAAATTGGCACCTAAAAAGACATACTTCAGGGTAGCTGAAATACATTTCCGTTGCTGGAATGAAAGACCTCTGGACATACCTCAGTACTGAGTCTGATCAAAATACATCTTTTAGAGAAAAACACCGTCTGCTGTAAGCAGAGCCGCCTTAACGCTGAATTGATGTTACTGTTCACGCCTTAACGCTGAACTAATGTTACTGTTCAGCCAGGATAAAGAGAAGGAAACAGTAGCAGATGAATGTCAACTAGTTATTTTTTTCACTCAACGCCTCCCATCTTTGCTTAGGAAGCATTACTTTTATGAGTCCTGGTGTAGCAGTTAATTCAGTTAAGAACTAATGAATAAACTATGCACTTTTTTTTTTTATTTCCCTCCCCCCCAAATAAACCTGCTTTTACAAAAGGTAAAAATACTTTTGCTGCTCCTAAGCTTGACAGGAGCAGCCTCAGTACCAGCTTGCCAGCTTGTGGCCAGTTAAAGTCGAGTGATGCTCAGTCAGCATGCATATGGAGACTGTGCTTTACAGCACTCAGAACATGTTCTGCTAAATCTCTAGTAGATAGAATATGGCACATGGCAGAAATACCACTAGAAACTCTTGTGCAGTGACTGCACAGCCCCCCCCTCCCCAAGAAGCACATGAAGGAAAGCCACTGCCCTGCAACCCTGTATAACTGGGACAGCCACAGGTGGAGAATAAACCCCAAATTATCTTGGCCTTTTTTTGTATCCTAATGCCTCATTTTTTAAAACAAGGGCAACACTATCAAAGTAAAAAATGCTTCCATAGTGACTGCTTTTTTTCATGATTGAGGACAGATTTTAAGACAGCACATGAATGAAAAAGTATTCAGTCATTTTTTTAAAAAAACCCAAGGTTTATTTGAGAGAAAACAGAAGCAAACAGAGTTTAGCCAACACAGGTTTCTGATTAAATTTGTGCATTAGCTGCTGTCTAATATTGAAGTTTACTAAGTCAGGGCTTGAAGGGTTTTACAGCATCCCCTAAAGCTCTTGTGGCTGGAGCTTCTTGCTCGGTCCCCAGATATTCCTGTAAAACAAGAACTTTAATTCTTTGGAATGTATATTCAAGGTTTTATTTCTATCTTCAACAGCCATGAAATGATAAATAAATTCCAAAAATCAACATTTCAAGTCTTGGATGATACTTCAGGCTTTGACAAAACCAGCATCTTACATGAGAAATAGTCTGAAAAATTATTATGGACTAAATCTGTGTGATGCCAGCTTACCCATAGAAACCAAGCGGCATGTCCTGCAAAATCAGGGTGTTTGATAGAGCTACTAAAGAAATAAGCATCACACAAGGTGGCTCTGCCAGACATTATTTAACCTGAGAGAACAGAAACACACTCACCTACTTTCTGAGCCCTTGCTCTTGTCCAGCGTTTGATCTTCTAATGGCTCTTTCCCTTCCACAGCCTCTTCCCTGCCTTTATACTCCTTTGTGCTCCACTTTCACTCACCCATCCATCCTTGAAGTTGTTTGCTCTGAAGTTTTTGGTTCAAATGAGTTTGTAGCCTCGGTCCCTAGCCTAAAGTTTTAAGGGCCTTTTTGTGTATTCATATTCCAAATCAATTAAGAATTAAAAATCAATTCAAGTGCTATTCAAAGTGTGAAAGCAGAGTCTCCTCAAGCACATAGCAATTGGCAGGAAACTGATCTAAGCCCATGCAATTGCTCCATGCTCATTCATATTTCAAAACATTTCTGCAAACATTAAAAGATCCGAGTCTTACACGGATGCAGAATCATAGAATGGTTTGGGTTGGAAAGGACTGTCCTCTATCTAGTTCCAACCCCTTGCCATGGCAGGGACGCCTCACACTAGATCATGTCACCTAAGGCTCTGTCCAACCTGGCCTTGAGCACTGCCAGGGATGGAGCACTTACCACTTCTTTGGGCAACCTATTCCAGTGCCTCACCACCCTCACAGTGAAAAACCTCTTCCTTTTATCTAACCTGAACTCCCCCTGTTTAAGTAATCTCCTTGCTCTCTGACAGAAAAAAATATTTCCCTATTTGCTGTTTCTTCCCTCCATTTCCATCTCCACCACCTCGAGCCCCATTTCCCACCCCTTCACCAGATCCTCTTCTCCACACCAAGGCTCCAGCCAGGGGTGAGCAAGACAAAACCAGGAGCTTCTCTAGCCTGGGAGGGGGCTAAACCTGGGGATACAGCTTGTCTCTGCCCACACAGGTGAGAGCCCCAACCAATTCTTTGTCATAGGAACTAATTGTAAGAATATATCCAACTACTTTTCCTCACCTGGACCATGACTTGTTTGCAGTGTTACAAGCACCGCTCCCTCACTGTCCAACAGCCACAGGCAGGACATCCCAGCAGAATGCTCTAGGACCAACAGTCCCCACCATCCTGCTAAGAATGACCACCCCAAAATATGTGAGGGCAAACCCACTGCTTTTACACTGACTCAGGGCTCAGAAAACATCAGACTTCTTTATAAACAGAGTTAACCAGAAGAGAGGCTGACTGCTAGTTTAGAGGTGTCTTTCAATCACAAACCTATGTGCTCTGTGCTCTGCATCCAGACTCCCCGAATTAGTCACTTCCCCATCAGTGAAACTACTGGTTTAGTCATCACATTCCCCATGGTGACAAGGGGTTTAAAAGAAAGCGCCTTTGCTCAGTGGCACCACAGTTCATGGGTGATATGTCTGGAAGATGGAGACAGAGAGGAGGGAGAGGAGAAAGGCTGGGTGGCAAAGCAGGGGTATGGTTCCGAACTCTGGAGGAGCTGTCACTTCAGGCACACTGCCGCAGCTGAACTGGGATGTTATATACATCACTCGAGGTAAAATATATAAATGCAAATACCAAATTTATTTCCTCAGGAACCTCTGTAGGTGGCTTTACCAAACTACAGTGCTCTCTGCAGTACACGATATCTTAAATCAGACCCTACTTTTAGCCCCCACTTCAACATGCTTTTTTAAAACCCTACCATACTGGCTTACTTTTTAGACAGGTTGTCAGTACCCACTTAAAAGGGTGTGTGCTGTGCAGGGCACTGACTCTACTGGTGCAGCACCCTCTTTAATTAATTGGGATAAGAATGAGACAATAGTAAAAATTTTATTCTCAGAAATTCAGACCCAAGTTAGAAATGATTTCCTAGATATTTATAACATTGGAATTCCCCCCCCCCCCCCCCCTTTTTTTAATAGCATTCTAGTATAGCACCATGTAGCTAAATAGTAGTATGCTGTTTTCAGCCTAAAACCTGCAACTGATACAGTATCTATCATTGAGAATGTCAATGTTGAAACTATTTTATTTACACAACATAATGTTCTAAAAAAAAAAGTGAGGTCTGTCAACAGCGACTGCAGTGGCTTCGTATCTCTCTGAAACCAAGAGATTTGGGGCAAGCTGTGTGGATCCTCTCCAGAGGAGCTCCTCTGCTCTCTTCTTCACAGAATACAATCACAGAAGATTCACCTTCCTGCAGAAGAGATCTCCCCTGCAGCCTGTATCAGACAGCAACTCCATCCAGGGAGACTACGTGGTCTCTCATAGGTAAAACATGACATCATGCACTTATAACAATCTCTCATAGAGTTAAACCACAAGGATTTGGTGTGGTTTTACCCCTCAGACCGCACCTTTGATTCACTCATTTAGCAGAATTACCAGTGCTAGCCCCTCCAGAGGGACTGGAAGTGAGAGAAGCAAATGGGCTCTGTTCAAATTGAAGCACAGGCTTTCCTATGCAATTTAGCACCAGATAGCAAACCAAGGGCTATGCCAAGTTGAAATGCTGTTGCCTTTCTGCTTTTTCACACATAATCCTCACCCTCATGACAAGTCACTTCATTTGGTTGTAGGAATGTGCCCTCTGCATTCAAGTAAACTGCCAAAGATTCCCGGTGAATAGCTTGAGAGCAATCAAGTGTAGCATTTAATGCAAAGCTTCACATGGCAAGACAAGTTTATAGGGAAAAAAAAAAAAAAAAAAAAATCAAGCCAATCTCTCCCAAGATAGACTATTTTATATTACTGAAGGTAGGTCACATCCAATATGAGAAGAATCCAAGCAAAATTTTTGGTACCACACAATCCAGATGGCATGTCCCATCCAAGTTAAGTACAAACACGCATGAAAACCAACCCTGAAGATTCCTGGGTACTGACAGGTCCCACCAACGCATTCATGCTTTTGGTTACTCAACAGACCGGATACCTGTCATTTCGGTTAGCAGCAGAAATATATATGGAGAAATTGCTCTGATCCTGGGCACTACACGTGGCACCGCTTCCAAGGCTCATTCCAGTGTGGAAAACGGAGAGAGGTGGCGAGAATGCTGCCAGGTACAGTCAGCAAGAGGCAGAAGAGCACGGAGGGGGCCCATGCCATCTATACAGCACACCCACCGAGTTTGTCTGTAAGATCACACTCACTTCCCTTTCAGAAAGTGCCTTATTTATTCAGTTTTTAATGGTATGGCATAAGGACTCTCGTATTTTATAGATAGATACCAAACTGGTATTATCAAAATAAACCATCTGTTTTATAAACCAATTATTTACAAAAATGGTTTCTGAAGCTTTTTGTTTTGTTTTTTTTTTTTAACAAAAATTAAACTATACACCCATCTAAGTTACAGAAACAAAAATAAGCTTTATAAGATCACATGTATAAAATAAGAAATGAAATGTGTTTTTATTTAAGGCAATACTGGGCTACTTCACAAATCACCACCTCAAATATAGATACTGCTCCACACTACTAATTTTCTATAACATTCACAATGGATTCTTTAATACCAAATATTGTTTTAGATCTCCAATGTAGCAAACTATTTTTATTCACATTTCAATTTTTATTACGGAATCATAAATGCTTTGTATCCAATTAAAAGCAATGAAAAATGTAGCTATAAGAAAACTATTATATTTATGTGTTAACTACATATGAATATCACCCATAGATTCTGGATGTTATAATTTATGAAAATGAGAGGGTGTCAGTATGTTTACCTTATGAAATGTGGTTGTATCCAGCTCCTCTCCTGTAAATAAATGCTTTATGCAAAATAAAACTGGATATGGCAGACTTGGCTAATTTTAGTTTAAAAGTTCTTAATTTAAAATGACTAAAGAACAGTTTCAAA